GAAAGATCAGATGATGTTCTAGGGTGATGCATGAAGAGAACAATAATTAAAACCATGTTGTCCTTTTTAAAAAATTTTTTTTTACTGATTGTGAAATTTCTAGAGAGCTTTGGTATCTGAATTTCTGTATTTGTTGACAGGAGAGGAAAAGCAGAGACAATAGCTATGCATGTTTGTTCAAAATGCCTTGCAAATACCATCTTTTTGATGAGTTTGGCAGTAATTCAGTTTACTGATTCATGCCTTTTCAGCCAATTAGTGCCTGTTCTGGCAGTAGGTAGATGTTGCAATGTGCATGCCAAACTCTTAGAATGGAATCTGACAGCACAGATATTAATTCGCAGCCATGATTGAAATCTAATTCATTCTGTATTTCAGTTTTTCATTATAACACATTTGCCCATAAAACACAAAAAGCTGAAAGCAGTCAAAATACTTGATCTCCTCCCTCCTCAGGATAAAAGATACAAGTCCACTAATAGACTGGATGATCTGACAAAGCAAGTGACTCACATACTGCAATCTGGCACATTTATGCCTTGTGGCTGCGAACTTCAAGTTTGTGAAAAGATCTTGGCTTTAATATCACTGCTTTTAGGAGATGGTTTATATTTTGTGTCTTTTCTGGTATAATTCTATATAGAAGTACAAGAATTTATAAAGTTTGATTTTTAGAAAAATGCAGTTATGTAAATAGTTAAGTTCTGAAAGCTTTACTCATTACTTAACCTCAGTTAATTAAGAGAGAGTTGTGACTGAATAAAATCTTCATAAGGATTTGGGGATTTAGATTCTTAGTATTTTCCCTCAAATTTCTCTGAATATCTTTTGTTCATGTTTGGATATTTAGTGAACATCTGTGTTTGGAGGTTTGTTTTGGTGAAGAGTTTTTTTTTTTTTTTTTTTTAAACACAGTTAAATGTAAGTAGCATAGAGATAAATAACATTCCTGCTCAGTGAAAATACTCCTCTATTGCTTCTGTACGTGACTTGGCCCAGGGCTGATAATTATTCCCTCTGCATCACAGAAGTGTGTAGTAGATATTTTATGGATGCTTAGAACTGGCAAAAAAAAAAAGGAAAAGGGTGGAGAAGGAAGGACAACATCTTTTTGTGACTTGGCCCTTGAGGGTTTGCCCTGACTTGGATACCCTTTGAGGGGATCCACACAGCACATTCATGTGAAGAATCCCTGTGCCAGTTAGTCATTTAGTGAAGTTAGAGCCACACTTAAGCCAACAATGAAAGTAATGCCACTCAAAGGAACAGAGGCTTTATAAGGAGCTAAGTGTGGGAGCAACAGATTGGGAACTGGGGAATAGGCCAGTAAGTAAATGACCAAGCTCTAGGTGGAGCTTTATTTTAGATTTGTCTGTTCATGAGACATAGAACAAACCTAGAGATTGCTACTTGCCCAATATCCATTTTGAAAGAAAAAATAACCAGCCTTAACATAAAATAGTGAAGTTACAGCACAGAAGTTACAGCTGCTATGCAGACTCCCTGCAAACAAAAGTCACAGACCCCCTGAAGTTACAGAGTTGAAAAAAAAAAAAAAAAAAAAAGGAGCTGAGTTTTAGTCCTCCACATTTCAGGAGAGATATTTAATCCATATTTTGCTGAGGTGCATTAAGAAACTGCAACTCAGCTATACTCATCTGCAATCATCTGCACTTACAATGGATGTGGCCTGACCGTGTATCAGCTTGCTTATTCATACCTTCCTCTCTGCCACCTGAAGGGGTTTGAACCTGTGCCTTTCAGGATTAACACTGATTGAACTAGAGTTTTCCCACTAGAGATTTCCCATACGAAGACTAAGCTTGCATTAAACATGTAAAAGCCTGTGAGCTGTGAAGTGCCATCACCCATCTGTGTGCTATCCAATAGGTTGTGAGTCCAGTGAAGTGCAACTGGAACAGAGGTGACAGAGAGTTGTGAGCAATGTGTCCTGAGCTGCTTTATATATGTGGTACAGTGCAAGAAACAGTATGCTTGTCTGAATTATCTTGGATTGATACCATAACTGCTTGTCTACTCTGGAGTAACATCACTGCTGTCTCCTGTTCTGCTTTCTCCTTAGGACTGATGACTAAAAAGAAGGCTTACTAGCATTGTTAAAAAAGTCTACACCAGAAGAAAAAACATTTCCTAATTCAAAGTGAATAAAGATTTTCTGTTTTAGTATAAAGTCTATATTTCTCCCCAGACTCTTACTTTGCTTCATTCAAAATCCATTCCATTGCTGATTTGCTTTGATGGTTAAAAATTATAGTCTTCAAAGTCTTCAAGGTTGTGGGAAACTCTGAAAAAATCGTTGTGGGATGATTTTAGGTCAGGCATGAGAAGAACAGTGTGGGGAGAAAGATTTCACAATAGCATGTGCTACATTTAGCAGTTATCTGGGGGTAAAACAAAATACTGCATTGATACAGGACGATTTCCACCACAGTGTCACTCCCATACTTACAAGAAACGAATTTGAGAAATTTTGATTATCATATCTTTTCTACCCCTCTGAGTCAGAGCTTCATTCCTAGCCAGAGCACACAGCTGACATTCCCATGTGAAATCAATTTAAATCCTAAATGTTTTCTAGTATCCAGTGAATGAAACCAAATGCTGACATTTTATTTTGGCTAATCTTTTCATGTATTTCAGAACTCAGTGTAGCAGCACAGATGAAAACAGGCAAATTGTTTATGTAATCAATAAACATTTCTTATTGGAATCAAAAATAAAAGCTGAAACATTTCCTATTCACTTCTCTTGGAAACGTGTACAAATAGATGACAAATAAGTGGAGTTAGACTTTGCTAACAAAAATCATGGTTTAGTTTTTATCTAACTAAACAAGCCTTTAAGAATAAAAAGACAAACTCTGCAAACTAAATGAAGCTAACTCTCATTTTCCAGAAGTCTGCAGTGCAACTCTGTGGCTTGGTTGTATCCTTTAGCCAAAAATATCCAAGATAATTAATAGAATGTCTTTCCGTAGTGCAACAGGCCAATACATATTCAAGATTCATATGAAAGCAGAGACTGCCATTAACTAGTATTTTATACTGCAGTTTCTGGAATAAATCCTGTTTTTGATACTCATTGCTTTATTCACTGAGCTTTAAAGTGGGATATGTTCCCTTTGAATGAGATCCTCAATCATCATCTTTATGGTCATTTTCTTATTTCATGCTTGACTCTTCCTAGCCACAAAGCTGAAGTCATTTTTTCACAGAGAACAGAAGATGTGGGACAAAATTCTTTCCTAACTTCAAAACAGTCAACTATGGTTTTGAGGGCTACAAACCTGGACAGAATTCTGGTCAGACCTCTTCAGAGCAGGGAAACAAAGCAGCCATTCATGCCCCAGAAAGCCTTTTGTCCCACCACCAGGAAGAGACAGACAGACCATACGGACAAATGATGGAGGCATGATTTGAGCTTGCAAGCCAGCAGTAAAACTGTAAAAGTCAGTCAGGAAACCAGAAGCCTGCAGAAGGGAAATGGTTTGCACTGGTGTTACAGTAATTAGTGGAAACCCTGCGCTGCTCAGATGATCGGTGCAGATGATCTCTTCTGGCTTCTCTACTACAGCCAGAAAGGCAGTGCTTATAGGGAAGCAGTATTTGGCCACCAAACCTCAAACCAGTGCTGCAAGGAGGGGAACACCAACTCAGGAGTTTTTTTGTTTCTGGGTTCTTTTCTCACTAGTGTGGAAGACAGCTCAGACAGGACTTGCTATTGCGTTGGTGAACTGACCCTCTACTAGCTGAGTCTGTCCCTCAGAACATGCCTGTGGCACGCTGAGCTGCCAGAGCAGAGAAGAATAAATCATTTCAGAGGCAGTCTCTGTGGCCTGATGGAGAGGCTGATAAACAAATCCTGTTCCGTTCAGCAGTTTAGTGTGCAGACATACTTTTTGTATGCCTCAGGCTATGGGATGCATTGTTAATAATAACTTCAAAGTCCTCTATGGACATTTCAAGCCGTTGTCTGTTTGCATCCATTTCTTTGGTCATTTGGACACTTTTGAAGTGCTGGCCAGTGGTATGCCAGCAGTGCCAGCAATACAATCTATGCTATTGTTTCATGGCACTGCCACCATGTCCCAAATACTCCTGCCTCCTGTCTTGGCATATCAAGTGCATTTGTTTGTGTTTGTTTACTGAATCAAAAGTTCCCTCTGCTGCTTGGTGTGCCTTGGAAGAACATCTTTGGCAATAGTTTCTCTAATATAAGCACAGAATGCTTGCGTGCTAGACAACTGATTAATGGCTACTTTTGGGAGGTAGGGATTGTAATTATTAGTACTTTGTTTTGTATCTAATTACATCATCCTTTTCGCCTGGCAAATTATCTTTAAAATGGCTTATGAGGAGTCTCAAAGGGAAAGGAGTTATTTGTTTTGCTTATTTAAGAAAGAACATTTTTAAGCATAGACCATATAAAAAAAATCCTAGGTTCATCTGACCGGGCTTATAGCTGCCTGACAGAAGGTCTTATATTACACTACAAAATCCATTGTGAAGAGCTTTGCAACATATACTTCAAATATTTTAACTGTGAGGCAGAGTAATTGTGGATCAGCTTGCAGTGTAAACTTTACTTTGCATAACAGAGGTGCTAAGCAATATATTTACACAGACAACAATTAGAATGAAGAAAATGGCATGGAGAACAGAAAATTACATGGAGCTCCCTCATTATAACAAATACTGATCCTGACCCACTGGCAGCAGTAAGCCAGGGAAGGGAGGAGATATTTCCTTTGTACTTCTGACCAGATGCTTTAACATCTCAGTGGTGTTCATGTCCTGAGCATTTTTTTCCTACCTGTGTAGAGACGGATGTAGTTTCTTGGTCATTTAAAGCTGATATAAATGAGTTCTGGGACCAAAATGTTGCCTCCTTCCTCTGCTTTCCATCCCCACCTATGTACTCCCATTCCTGCCTTTGTTCTTCCACAGAAGTTCACAAGGCCACACAATGACTTGGATCAGGAATCACCAGGGCTGAAAACTAATCTGCTAACAAACAAATAAACAAAAAACCAAATCAACTCTGTCTCCAAAAACCTGCACCGTTTTTCAGTGAACTCATTTTCCTGCTCCAGCTCAGCACTTGGCAGCACAAACACTGCAGCAGCACAAAGGCAGGGATGGGAAGGATGCAGACTTGATTTACCACTCTTACTAATCTTCCAAGTCAATGACTCTAAAGAAGCACAACACATCGACTTTGGGGTGAGTTATAGGCCATTTCTTCACTTTCCTGCTCCTCCAGCTAATATTAGCCAAGAAAGCATGTGAATTTGCAACAGTAAAACTGCCCTGGATTATGTTTATCAGCTAAGATCTTTAACAACTTCTGCATATCTGTTCACTGGTAAAGCGATCTACTTAACCCCTCCACACTTAGATTTTATGCTGTTTTAGAAACACATCTTTCCTCTTTCTGTCTTGAAAAGTTTCTTGATGGACATAGAGATGTAAGATTCTCCTTTCTCTCCTCTCCTTATCTAACATCTCCACTCCTTTTGTTACAAAAGCTATCTCCGTATGACAATGGTATTAGAAAATAGTAGGATGTAATTCAAGAGATTGTCGTTGTGCTCCCCTTTTGCTTAAACATGCTTGATTAATATTTTTAATTAATCTGCATATCTATTCTTTTCTAGTTCATTTTATGTCCTCATACAAAAGTAGTCATTAAATTGTGCCATTCCCTCAAAAACCTGTAATTTTGTAATCTAATAGGTTTCTCAAAAGAGCCATACTCAAATAAAGCACAGAATACTGTATCTTACAGGGATGCCCACCATCATTACAGTATTTATTGTAGGTCTAACAAAATAAGTATCTGTTGATAATGTGAAAGCCTCTGTCTTAAAATACATAAATATAAGCCTCTTTGTTTCAGTCAACATCTTTCAAGATTAAGCAGCCTGATTTCATACCAGCTGCTTCTACTAGTATCTTCTCTCACCCGTAGAAGGGACCAGGAAGTGTCTTGGCTGCAGGTCAGGAGGATAGTGACTTACCTACACAACAACACAGGTGAACTGGTGTGCCATTTTCAGCTGCCAGATCTGGCCTTATCATCAAAGTTCATTCAGCAGAAATAACAATTTCTAATCTGTACTGAAGAGAGGAGTATACAAATACCCAGGCAGGCTGTTAGGAAGGGAAGTCTGAGGAAACATTAGGCAAGACTGGGTATTCTGACCAGTGGGCTGAAGTAGTTGGTACTTACTAAAGGAAATATTTTAAAGGAAAAGTCAAAATCTGGTTACGTGAAACAAAACAAGAGTAGCAGGAGTAACAAACGGGGGAAAATGCACAGCTGCATTTGCTGGATTATTTTTGAGCACACATTTGACAATCTGATAGAATTTTTAGTAACGTTTGGTGTGAAGTGTTCTAATTCTTCCTGGAATTATGAGGTACAACTCAACAGAGAATTAATAGTAGCATGATAGTAAAGATAAATATATATATATAAAGAAAGGAGTTCTTGAGACTAGAAATTGAGACCAGCACATCACTGAGGAAAACAGATAAATAAGACAGCCATAGTTGCAACAGGAAGAGTGGGTGGGTTTGAGAACAGGCATTTGGTAACTCAGAGATGTTGGATGCAAATGAAGAGAGACATCTCCACATTCTAGGGGGCAAACCTCATAAAGGGGAAACAGATGAGCCTTTGGAGGAGTGTCTCCGCCTCTCCACTGGGTAAAGGGCACTGAGAATACCAGCTTTGTAAGTTTACTGATTGAGCCTAAAGATGTGTGAGATGTAATATTACGCTGAAACTTATAACCTCTTATTTCTTCTATTTGTACAAAAATTATCAAATATAGTAAATGTTCAGATTCGCAGCTATGCATTGGCCATTTCTAGGCACCTCCAAAATCAGAAACATCTCTCAGTACCATTGTACAGATTTTTTGAAGTTTCAATATTCTTCACTTTTTTCTCCCCATAGCAATGATACAGGAAAGGCATCCTGCATTCTTTAAATAGGCTATTTAATTTATGAGCAATTCAATATGAACACTGTAGGTAGGTATGAGTTTTCTGATCAACTTCCAATTGATTATGTTATTAAATGTCTTTCAAAAATGCAGAAAGGCTTGAAGTAATAATAGAAAAAAGGACAGACAGTGGTGTCTACTAGTACTTCTCAAGCTGATCAGTGAGGCTGGGTGTGTGAGAGAATGCAGCTGCTAACTGACATTCAAGTGACTGCAAGGAAGGTGTGCCGGAGAGTGTCAGCAAGACCAAAAGGAAGTTGAGTGATGAAATGCAGAAACATGAGGGAAGGTGATAGCTGATTACAGTGTAAGCCTAATAGGGAGCTCTGTATCAGGGCAGAAATGTCACAGAAGAAACTGCAGTGAGTGTCTTCTGTTTTTTCAATCCCATGCATGAAGAATACAAACAGAAGATGTTTCAAAACAGCTTAAATGTTCAGCAACCTGACATAAAGAAATTCCCCTAAAGCACAGGTAAGGCCATTAATTATTCTCATAAAGCACTGTGAAAAATAAAATTATATTTTGTATGTCCTATGATGGTGTAGGTAGGGTGAGATCTGGTCAAAATAAGAGTGTGGTGGAAAGAGGATCTCCTCCTCATGAGGAGTGGCTAAAAGAGCTGGGATTTGTTTAGTCTGGAGAAGAGGAAGATCAGTGGTGACATTATTGTTCTTTACAACTACCTAAAGAGAGGTTGTGGTGAGTGGGGTTGACCTTTTCTCCTGTGTAACTAGCAATAGGTCTAAAGGAAATGGCTTCAAGTTGCACCAGGAGAGATTAAGTTTAGATATTAGGAAGTACTTCTCCCAGAGAGTGGTCAGGTACTGGAATTGGCTGTCCAGAGAGATAATGGAGTCATCAGCTCTGGGGGTGTTCAAGAAACATTCAGATGTTGTACTGAAGGACATGGTTTAGTGGAAGATAGTGGTGCTATGTGGACGGTTGGACTAGATGATCTTGAAGGTCTTTTCCAACCTTGTTGTTTCTATGATTCTGTGATTCCATACAGCAGAGGAGTGTGCTGGCATTTATTTCACATTAAGCAAACTTCAGCCTACACTACAGAAAACAATGGTATGACAGCTAAACACATGATCAGTATATGTTATGATTAGGATCAGCTTGTTTTCAGAGAAATATATTAAAAACTCTGGAAAACATTCAGATTTTCCAAGCAATAGTCTCTAGAAAACCACCATGAAGCACCCATTCTATCTACAGAAGGAGAATGCAGCTTTCTTTGAAAAAAAAAAAAAAAAAAAGAAATCAAGAATCAGGAATTATAAAGGGACTTATTAGTCTCTGTAGTCAGACCTTTTATGAAATATAGACCAAAACCTTATCCAGTGATTTCTGTATCAAGCCTACATTCCAGTAACTTGTTTAGACAGTAATTATGCACTCTCCTTTAGCAGATGGTGCGCTGCTGTGGAAGGCTTACTCACGTTCATCACTGGATATTCTGCTGACCCAAGGTAAAGATCTCTACCACATCGAAAAGGAGTTCTTCAGACTAGATTTTTCCTGACTGTTTACTATCTGGGACATCTATGATATAGATTTAAACCTGGTTCTCACTTTTCTAACCAAAACTGGAGTATGTTTGACTCTTAGCTGAAATACTAAGGGCACAATGGCATAGGCTGTTTTCATGTCAGTTCACCTTGAGCATTCATTCTGTCCTTTTAAAACCTTTCAAAAGCGTTTGATAAATCACTTTGAAAAGATCTTTTTTTTGAGTTGTTCTTTTCATAAGAATCCAAAATATTGAAAATTATGTCAGGCACTTGTAGTTTCTGTAACAAATAAAGATATTGAATATTTACTGTAGTTAAAAGGTTGATACTCATGCAAAATCTGTAATTTTTAAATTTTTTCTGACCATTTCAGAATATTTCAGACTACGTTTGTTCTTTCTGTAGTCATAGCCTGTTCTTTATTATATAGTACAATGGACAGAAAATGGAAAGAACTCCCATAAAATGTTGAGATTGTCTGAAGAAATCAAACCTTCTAAGAAGATGCTCTTCATGCAGTATGATCAAGAAGAAATTTTCTTTTATTTTCACTGCTTTATCTTGAATTTCCATTATCTGATTAGGCATGGCTGCAGGCTCTGAAGGCTATGAATTCTTTGATACATGAAAACTATGCTATGTTACAAACGTATTGGGAAGGGTGAAGGCTGGCCATTCACAAAGACCCAGGAAAATGTTACTTTCAGAAATTGTTTAAATCTACTAAAGCACAATTTTTATAAAATATCATGTTTTTATACAGGAAAGATTTAAAATGCAGAAGTGTTTTTGTCTTAGAAAATAAGAAGCTAACTAATTAAATCAGTTTGGCTCCCCATGCTTTGGTGTTTGTGCCTAGATCTCTTCCTTGTGTTTAGAAAAAACTGTCTATGAAACAGTCATTTACAATCCCAGAGGTATGGAATTTTTTTTTTTCTTGTTGAGGAATGTGACATTCTTTGCAAAGTAGAAACAAATGGTGCAGATTCATCTGCTTAATAAGGACTGCTTAATGAAGGGAGTCTGAGAATGTTGCAAATGCCCTTGCATTTTAGAAATATATTTTTAGAGCAAGCTGAGAGGTGCTTGATGTGTTTTGTTGTGCGACATTGGTAGTGTGATGGTATCATGATGTGGTCTAGGTTAATTCTAAACTTGGAATTCTTTTGGTTTGTTTTCCGCATTCATTTTCTTCCTTCCTCAGCGAAGCTATTTCCTTCCAAATGGTGTTTAAATTGGTATAGACTAGCCAGAGCACAGTCTGGGCTGGTTATCAGCAGGCCTCACAACTGGAACGAGTGTCTCTAGATTTCCTTATCCACCCCCCAGCAGTTACTGTCATCAAAGCAACTGATCCTAGGACACAGATGAATAGTTGCTCTTAGAATAGAAGTCTGCAGCAAGGTCAATGGTGTTCAAAACAATCTGACCAACAGCAGGAAATTCCCTCCAAGATTGCTAAATCTTGTTTACAAGAGATGTCTTTCTGCAGGATATACCCGACCCAACACTCTGCTAAGAATGTCATGTGACATAGCACATTTTCATGGGGAGTCTCAGAAAGCAGATAGGATGAAGTCCTGGCAAAATTCCCACTTCCTTCAGTGCAACAGGGTTTCACACAAACTTTCATTAGAGAAAGGGAAAAAAAAAATCAGTATTGAAAATCAGTCCTGTCAGGTGTTGTCAAGGCTGGCAGATGTACAGGAGCAGAAGTTGGCTTACAGAGCTTCCTTTCATGAGAATGGGTTGTAGTTAAACCATACTGGACAGACAGATATAAAATAATTCTGAACGAAACTATCTGGGAATAATATTCCCCAGAGAAGTGTGGGTTAGAGTGAGTGAGGGCTAGAGCATTGGAACAGCCACATGCTTTCGTAGGAAGGCCAGCACAATAGTTAATCACTTGTTTCTTGTTGGAAAGAAATTACTTATTCACAAGTTATGAGATCAAGAAACCTGGAGGACATCCCTGTTAAAAACCTTCTAGAAATAATTATGTTTCAGAAAATCATTATTTGGTCATGACTATTTTGCAAATAAAAACAAAGGCAAAAATCAACAGATGATTTATCATTTTTATATATCCACTCTATACTATGTACTGGCAATAATTTTCATCTACTAAAAAAAATTAATTATGTTTCAAGAAACAATAAATAAAGCCTTTTATTTTTTATGCATTCCGTATGTACAATCATATTTTATCTCTCCAAAATCCAATCAATAATTCTGAATTCCCACGGCTCAGTTAAGTCACCAACACTTTTCATGTTCTCAAGAGTCATTGAAATGCCTAGCAGAAAGAACTGACGAGTATGCTCTGTTTATAACCACCAACATACACTTTAGCAAGTCATAAATGCTTGACACAATTTACTCATTGCCTGAACTTTTAAAGGTCTAGCTATTCACATCCATTTAGTGTAGGTGTAATAGCTCTGGATGTTAGTGTGACAGTGTGGGTAAGAAGTTATATAATGTCTGAAAGTCTATTAAACGAAACATAATCAAATTCTTCTCTGCCATAACCACTGCATATTCTCAATGTTTGGTTTATGTCCTCAGCAAAAATCTGTAAGAATTATCCTTTATCTTAAGGGATAAGCACAATGAATCAAATGGCAAGAGGACCACAGGTGATGGACTGCTAAACTGACACTTTTTCTCAACTCTCTCAAAACATACATGCAATCACCAAATTCATAAATAATGGCTTAGGATTCTCATTAGATTTGATTCTTGTTTTGCAACTATATCAGTAACATAAGAAGAAAGAAAATCTCCAAAACAGGAGTTACCAAGCTGTGCCATAAGTACAAACACTGGAACGCAAACTCTTTAGAGTAATATTCAAGTTCTACCCCAGACATCTTGCACATGCACACATCTTTTTGCATAAGTGGCTCTGCAGTATGGTTTTAGGAAAAATCAACTTGGTGGCATTTGAAAAGTCATACTCTATCATGAACATGTGGCTTTCTTTTTATTTGGAATAACAAGAGACATAAGATAGTATTTATACATTACAGACTGCATCTAATAGAGTAGTTGTGACTTGCCAAAGGTCAGTCTGATTTCACCCTTTTTGTTTCTAATTTCTGATTACATTGCTCTCCAGCACACACTGCTAATGTGTCATGGAGACTAAATTGCATAAAAAACGATGATATCAAAAGCCTCATGACAAGAATGTCTTCCTGTTTGTTAGCCTAAGGACAAAATGTCCATTAGTGCCATTTTATAAGTTTAAATAAAAATGATCATTTTTGAAAAAAATTGTAGATTACAGATTGTAGATTATGGATTTAATGAAGTATTCATTATATTTCTGAAAAGAAACAGCTTGGGTGAAACAGATTGTTAAGTGCATAGTTTCAACATATACATGACCAACTGACTTCATCTCATGCCTTCTGTTTCTGGCCTGATTCTGCCAACAAATTTAATTTCACTCTGATCAGCGCTTACGTGTAGGGCATGCTCAAATTTATTTGTAGGACAAGTTTTGTGCTTGTAAGGAATTACTCTAGATTCTGTATTCAGATGCACATAGTCCAGCCCCTTCTGTACTCATTAAAAGACAGACATAAAATGAGTTGCAGTTAGAGTCACTGCTTGCAAAATGTAAGCTTTCATACTTGTAGTTTCAATTCTTGAATTGTATTGTGAAGAATAAATACTGTAAGAGTTACAGTTTTCCTTTAGGAATGTCTTTGATTGTTATTTCTGTCTTCTTTCTGGAAGGAAAATTCAACTTGATGTATACACAATCATTCTGCTAACCATAGTCAGCACTAATCGAATGATTGTAACTTCCTTGAATGTGTGAAACAATGCATATATGAACAAAAAAGAGCAAAATAAAGAAATGAGCATTCTTCATGCATCTATTTCCCTTGAACATTTTAATAAGTGTTTATGCTGTTTCTAGACTGTTACTAGGTTGTACTAATGGCATGCAATATGTAACATTTGCTATTGGTCAAAAGCCCTTAGCTTGTCTTGTGACTTTGTAACTTAATTGAATGACCTGACCTTCATAAATAAGAAGGAATAAGGATATCTTTCAAACAAGGATAGGGTGGAGAACACTTTAGGGAATGATATGGACAAGAGGAAACAAGGAGACCTATTTAAAGTCACTGCTTGTCCTCTTTAGCTGAAGAAATATATTAGGTTACAAATAGAAACACTAGAATTAAAATTATCTGTTTTCCTTCCTGAGTAGAAAGAAAGGTTTCTTGATGTGTTTTACATAGAGATTTATTTTTCTCAAGATATGGAGATTTCTCCTGTATTGTCAGAAATAAGTGCCTTTTTTTTTTTTTTTTTTTTTTTTTTTTTTTTTTTTGTGAGTGCTGCAATTATTCAGAAATAAATACACTGCAAAACCTGTCTGTGAGTTCCTGGAGCAGTGTTGACTCAGAGATGGGCAGCATTTTGCCATCCTGTACATACTGCTGAATCCACCAGTTGGACTGCAGTGGGCACTGGGTGAAACCAACATCAGGAACATATGTGCAGTGCTATGTAAAAATATGTAGCACTTTTCACTGCATTTACTTTACTGCCTCAGTTCTGCATACCAGATGGGAGGTGAGGAAGGAGTTCAAAGGACTCTTGTTATTGTCCTCTCAGGCACAGTTATGCTTGATGCATTGCAATCTGAGCTACTCTCTCATTTCCCATCACTGCTCATTACAAACAGAAGTGGTCTTGCAGTTCTGATGGGCTACTCAGTCACAGGCGTGCAGCCACTTTCATTACTAAGAGATTTGCCCACAGAATATCTTCTGGTATCTTGCTTACCAATCAGCCTACTACCTTGTGTCAGTCTGTGTTAATGGCATATGGGCAGTAAGTGCTGAGGCAAAGATTCCTCCTGTGCCTGAAACATCTGCCCGCTCTTGTTCCTTCCTATTGATACCCACGGGACTGCTGTATCTATCTAGGCAGATACACGAGACTCTGATTTCTTAGCTTTTCAAAACTTCTTTCTCCTTGCATCTGGGTGCACATGCACAGAAGCCATCTTAATGCAAGTAATGTATTAACATAGGAGTTGTCTTGAGTAAAGACCAAAATACCACATTTAAAGGGAAAAAAAATATATTGCAAAATACAATGCAGAAAAATATACATACAAGAGTAGGAATCATGCTAGATAGGCACATTAGAGTTTTAATTCAGTACCATAATGTTTTTCCTATCTGAAAAACAAAAAAACAAAAAACCAAAATTTTTTTTTTTTTAAAGAACACTATTTTTTGAAAAAAAAAAAAATCAGTATTTAAATTGGATGTCTTGACTCCAGACAGCAGAAATCAATTATTTGGTCCCAGCTAACGATGATCTCGCAAAATGATGATTTTATTTATTTTTTTTTTAACTGCACAAAAATTATGACCTTCTTCATAATTTAGTTTTCTTTTTTAAAAGTAAGAGAAAAGCTACTGTTGTAATAGCAGATCCACTCCTAGTCTTGTTTGCAGTTGGGCATAGTTGTGAAACACACCAGCTTTTGGTGTTATTTTGAAGAAAAGTTAACCCTAGCACGGTGCTATCTGATCTTTTTATTTACATCTAGTATAGACAGATAAGGAGCATTCCATCTCTCAACATCCTGGTTAAACTTAAACACAGTTTATATCAATCAGACTGGTAACTGCATATTAAAAAACCTTTAAATGTTTTTAGATAAAGGTTGAAACTGAAGTCAGTGTGTATTAGAAAAATAATAGTAGCAAAAAGCTTTGTTGTTGTTAACTAGAAAGTTTAATCATACATTCGATATAAAGAAAACAGATGTGCAGACACTGCTCAAGGAAGTGAGCACAGGGCACCTTTGATCTGCTGCTTTCTGCTGCTCACTCACAAAGGACAGTTGCTTCCATTAATGAGGCTTTTCTACTTTATTAGGTTCACTGATTTCATGTGCCCAGAGCAGGAGGGAAATAGCACTGCTCTGTAAGAAACCACTTTGATATCTTGTAAATAGAGCCGTAAAGCACTCATGTCGCTTAATGCTATAAGTACAGCACATTTGTAAATAGCTGTTATGAATGCCAGTGGTATTTAAAGCCTGTGAATGGTGAGAAGGAACAAAGGTAATGAGTTGTTTGATGAGCTGATGTTTGTTTATCTGTAAGGAATGAACTCAGGTGAAATAAGAAAGAAAGAATTCTTCTGAATGAGTCCAGGTTCATCAGAACCACTCTACAGAAAACTAAGTATAATTGTACCTAAGTGAGAATGATTTCTGGTATACATTTAAATAATCATAAAAAATCAGAAAACATGGTTAAAGAAGTCAGGAGGTGCCTATATACTCCTACTACACTTACGAGATCAGCGTAGTATGTATTTAGCTCATCTGGTTATACAATTCAAAAACTATACTGTTTGCACATAGTGTCTCATAATTGTGACAGTCCATAAAAAATGTTTTTTGGAGAAAAAGTGCCTAACTCCTGATAATTTTAAAATCCAGAAAGATGCTTGTAGAGTTTTAAAGGCCAGTTTCTCATGTGTGTTATTTACTGTAGCATCTGGTAAGAATCTATGAACAGGTGCACCAAAACCAAGTAGAATAAAATTAATTTGCATTTCTGTTTGCCTAATTTGTTAGCTACAGCTGAAATACTGTATCTAGATTCTCAGTTTTATTGTTAATTCAGAACTGTTAATTGTTATTTTTAATTGGTAATTGTTACTGTTAAGAATTTAAAAAGTGAGCTCTTTTCATTGTCCTCCAATAAATGCCACACTTTACCACTTTGTTAAAGTGCCTTGCATACCTGTGCATGCAATTTTCAGTTTCTCCCTTTAATTTCTCTCTATATTCCTAAATACGTATACAGTTTGTGCATTTCTTTATTTACCTGCAGTGACATTTCAATTTGCTATAATTTCTCTAACACAGCAGAAATGTCTAAAGCATGCCTTCAGTTCAAATTAATTCACAAATGGCAAAGAGGATATATAACTCAAAAAACTGATCTTGAATCTCCAGGAAGTTTATTGTATTGCTACATAACAGAATTCAGACCTGATCTTTAATGCTGCTCCACCTTTTTATGTAAGGTTGTTTCCCATCCTTAATTTCTCATCTTTACTCATACCCATTAGAATTGAGTGTACACGTTTGGGTCTAAGACATTCAGTGCTCCACTCATGTTGAGTTTGTGGGGTAACCTGGAAAACCCCACCTTCAAAAAGATGTAGGCCAAAAAATCAGAGCTAAGTTTGTTGCGGTGCTTGCTGCTAGCTTGGCTAGGGCAGGCTTTGCAGTTGCTCTCTCTTCTTGAAAGCAGACACCCTGTTCAAAGAGTGGTGGTTAGCAGCATGTCCTTGCCCACTGTTACCACTGCAGAACTTGATACCACCTTGGGCAAGGTGGTTTCTAGAGCAGCATGGAGTTTTACTGCTGTTTATACCATTCCACTGAAGTTAAAGGGACTTCAAATGAGCTGAATCTTACCAAGGCACTGTTAAAAGACTCAACTGTAAGTGAGAATAATGTCAGAAACCTTTTATTATCATGTACTCACACATATATATGTAGATATAAAATGAAAATTTTCTCAGAATCAGCTTGTGAACTGTCACTGACTAAGGACTGAGTTAGAGAGAGGTGTTAAGAAAATTTCCTCTACCCCCATCCGAGACCATGCTCAGATACTGTGTGCCTTCACTGGGAGCTGGAAGAACTATCCTGGGACAACATTACTGCACATGCATGTTACTGAAAAGCAGGAAGAAAGAAGATCCTGCTTTTCTGGAAAGGTCAGCTTGATGTTAGCTTTAGGAGGTCAAAACTGCTGGCTGCAGAGATTTTTCTTCTCTGCCTTTTCATGGACAGTTGCATATCAAAGTTGAGATTGTTTTTTCTGTGCACATACACAGATTACTGGAACAGCAGCAGAAAAACACATGGAGCTTCAAACTTTCTATTTTTTATTCTGAAACAGACGAGGAGAACTTCTCATGTATTTCCTAATGTTATCGGATCTCTACTTATGAATATTTGGTGCAACTCCACTAAAATGAATGATGCTCTCTTTGCTGAAAATTTCAGTTTGTTCAGTACAGGCTATGGCATGTGCCAGACTGCGTGTGAGAGAAAATGAAAAATATTTTGGAGTAAGACTCTCTTCAACACCCAATACAATATATTAGGATACTTGGTGTTCTCACCCTCAGTTCAATTGTGAATTATACTAATATCTCCTTATTTTTGAAGAAAATTCTAATATGATTGAAATTTTTGTCTTGTTTATGAAAAAGCTGTTTTAAATCATATTTTCTGCCTACTATAATTCTGCACTTTCAGGCACTCATTGTCCTATATCCATAAAATCGCTGCCTTGATATAACGTATCAGGCCTTTGGATAGAAAAAAATGCATCTTGTAAACAAAATTAACACTGAAAAGAGAGGGAAAAAAAGTGGGAATACTTTCTGGATAAAAATTAGTTTCAGAACACTGCTTTAGTTTTGTCAGAAGTAAGGTTTATAGGATTACTTCTATCTCTCTAAGACCATAGTTTTTTGAGAGGTTGCAAACACTTCATGAGAATTGTTTTGAAAAGTTTTGGTTAAATGCAAGAGTTTATCTTACTCGGGCAGATGAGACCCAGTTTCAGTGTAGGAATTTTATTTCCTTTATCCTTCTTCTGAGAGAGTTCTTGGTCTTATGTTATTCATCTGGCTTCCTTCACAAAGCTGTGCTGGGGCACCTTCCCACTAAAGCATCAAGGTTGTGCCACAGCCCAGCAGTTTTTCATGCTGTCAGAGGACTTTTAATGCACAGTAAGAGACAGCTGATGGCAATTAACAACCTGAAATTTGCAAATACAGTTTTATGGGATTTCCTGTAGAAGTGTTCACAAGACTTCTTGCTTTCTGCTTCAATAGCAAGTGCTCTAAAGTGTGTTTTCATTCTGCTTTTAAATTAATCATATGCCAGTGTTCACACAAATGCACAGAGAATGACAACAAATCCACATGGACACATTGTTTCTGTTGCCTAATGCATGGGGGAAGCCAAAAACCAGCTCTGATGGTGATTTACAAATGCAGAAAGAATTGAAACAGAAGATAAAAATACTCACTTATTGGGTGTAAAATGTAGGCTGTTCTTCAAGAACCGAAGTAAATTTGTTCTGGTTTCATGAAATAATTCCTGG